ATTTACTTATATTTCCATATATTATTTATTTTTACTTAACACAATTAACTTTTCTGTGTTTCTCTCTATAAATAACGCAAATGGATGGATTTAATGCGTTTATTTTTTATGATTTTGGAGCTGAAGTCGTGCCATTTAAAGCCATTTTGTGCCTCCATGTGCCACTGTGTTGTCCTGTAGTGTTTGTGTGAGTTTGTGTGAGTTTCTGTATTTACCAGGACGTGTTCCTCTTTTTCCCAGGAGTCCTGGTGGACAGAACGGGCCAGTACTTCTTCGTCTTCGTGGTGTGCAGCGCCGTGGTGGCCTCGTCGGCCATTTTCCTCATGGTTTCCTTCTACTGGCTGGACGAGAAGGAGAGGAAAGCCGAGTCCAAACCGGGCCCCCCAAACCCAGGCGAACCGGCCAGGCCCCTCAGCGTGTCGTACCGCAGTCTGCCCACAGAGGGCGACAGAGAGGGGCCCAACGGGGAGGAGCAAACCAGCGTCTGAGGCTCAGTGGCGCCGCCCCGGTGGCCACCGGGGGTTATAACGGTTCGCTCCGTTAGTCTAAAGTCCCAAACCAAAACCAACACATGTGCACTTACACCCACCATGTGATTGTACCGTTTCTCGTCCCTCAGTCTGACTCCCCAATAGGGATGGGGATCGTTGATATTTATCGATATCGATACTTTTATCGATACTCCTTATCGATCCGAGTCTTTATCGATACCACTATTCTGTTATTTGGTAGAAAGACGATGCGACAATATTTAACAAATTAATAATTGTATTTTAAATTAAATGTAATTTTTAATAAATGTTGGCATCAGTAGTTTAATTATATATTTTAAAATAATTAGAGCAATATACAACTGTCTGACTCCTCAATAGGGATGGGGATCGTTAATATTTATTGATATCGATACTTTTATCGACACTCCTTATCGATCCGAGTCTTTGTCGATACCACTATCGATACTTTTCTGTTGTTTGGTAGAAAGACGATGCAACAATATTTAACAAATAAATTATTGTATTTTAAATTAAATGTAATTTTTTATAAATGTTGGCATCAGTAGTTTAATTATATATTCTAAAATGATTAGAGCAATATACAACTGTATTACTCATGTTTCTCAATTTCCCTTTTCTTTACGTTACACTTGAACGCATCATGATAACCTAATTGTCGTTTTACTGAGCCAATCTGAACACGTCTGAAACTTGATTTACTTTTCAAGCTAACTAGCTTGAATGCTGCCGATTACAAAACGGATTTCACAATTACTATTGTAATAATAAAAAAAAACGACCAGACTCGATAGTGGTATCGTTAAGCCCAAACGGTATTGATTTTCGGGTTTTGAAAAAAGTGGAACCGGGTCCTTTATAGAACCGGGTTTCGATCCCCATCCCTACTCCTCAACCACAAAGTCGGGGAGTCAGAGGGTCAAACACAAGGCTTCATTTAGCGTTATTTTACTTTTAGCCAAATCACTACAGACCAAAAATTAACTTCATGTTTCCATTTGGACACGATCCCAACAGAGGACCCTGAGTTTCGCCTCCCTCTGTTAAATTAATTACATTTTTGCTTTTCGTTTTTAAATTTTTTGGACAAAACACCAGCCATAAAATAGTGCCTGTAGATAGGATTAGTGTCCATAAACAAAATCAAAAGGAAAAGCATCCTTTTAAATCAAAAATCCAAAGTGACAAATAGATTCTGCGTTTCTTTTTAACACCTCTGTTCAAAGGAAGGTGTCCCTGACCTCGTTTCCATGCAGAATTCCCAAAGACAAAAGAGAGTTGAAGGTTTTCTTGCGTGTGAATCCGGTCGAAAATCCTCTTGTAGATTTTTTTGTGGTTTTCAGTCGTCCCACAAATGTTCTTTCCCTCTCTGGTGATCCGGTTTGCATCCGACACTCAACCATGACACTTCCACCTCTGTGCTTTACAGCTGGTGTAAACCTCTGGTCTCAGATGGGGAGGCTCTGTAAGGCTGTAGAAAACACTTTACAAGATTTTATTTAAATAAAGAAACTATATGAATCTCTGGGAAATAAAGAGGAAAAAATGTACGGTAAATTAATTTAACAACTGATTGTCTAAAAATTATCTAAAGTTTATAATGATTATTTGAATTGTCCAGCAATAATATATAGATGTATTCTTTCGAGAGCAGTTTATTTATTTTAAATGGGCAGCAAATATATGATTGAAGCAACATTTTTTATGGAAATGGACTGTTTGTTTTGAGGCGAATTTAGACTAAATGTAAACCCTTTATTGGATCTCATAAATAACAGAAAATATAAATAATTTTTTTTTTAGCAGAACTCCTCCAAGTTAATATATTTTTTGTTTTTTATCCTAATAATGACGTTTTACTTGCACTCTTTATATTGAATCCTCCTTCTGAGCTCATCTCAATCAATCAGCCCTTAATAAGAATATAAGTAGTGAGCTGAATGTGCAATTTCCCCCTTTTATTTAGACAATTTAGTCAAACGGAAGAAAATTAGCAGAATGTGTGACAGTTTTGTCTGTATTTTACACTAATATGACTGTATAAGCTAGAAAATCAGACTGTTATGTATAGTTTAAAACCTTAAAATCAGACCATTATGTAAAGTTTACACCCTAAATTCCATTTAAAACCTTAAAATCTGATCATTATGTAAAGTTTACACCCTAAATTCCACTTAAAACAAAAAAAATCTGACCATTTTGTACAGTTTACACCCTAAATTTCCTTTAAAAGGTAAAAAAAATCCAATTATAATGGATCATTTTCCTTTGTAAGCTCATCAGCTGAGGTTTTTCTTCAAAATCCTCCAAATTCTCATATAATAAACACGTTTAACAGCAACTACTCACCATATGATGATGCCACTGATTCATGATTCAGGATCTGGGGGCGAATCCTCCCACTGATGCATTTCAGTCTTATCTGGAAGATTTAAGCGAAGGCTTCTGCTGAAATCTGGACGTTGGGAACATCCAGTTCTGAGCTCTGCGTGGGGGTTGTTGTGGATTTTCTGATAAAGGAGCCTGTTGTTCTCTTCCAGTTAAACTGGACTTTACAGAATAAACAAAATGGAAATGAAAATGAGTTACAGATATGTGAAATATGTAAAAGATCTTATAGGTCTCAGTTTTGGACAATCTGTGTAAGATACAATTCCTCATCAAGTCAAACCAAAAACATTTGAACACTCAGATGAACTTTTATTCATTTATTATTAAAACAGTAGAATTGAATCAAGCAATTGAGGTTTGACTTGTTTTTAGATGGTGTCAATTTGGCCCTTATGAGCTAGTTTTAGGCTGCAGAAAAACCCATTAATATTGATCAATTGTGAGTTTTACAAGTAATTACAAAACTATGTCTAAAATAGCATAATTAAAGAAAAGAAAAAGATCAAATCAAAGAAAACAACCAAAAGCTGTAATTACTGTAATTGAGAAAGAGGGTATTGGAAGTAGAATGTAGTCTTGAACCTGGATAAATCCTTATAAAATTTGTTTTATTTAATCTATTAAAACTGATTGGATGTGTTTTTTTTTTATTGCAAACATGATTTTACATTTTTCACTAAAGCTGGCTGTTATTATTTTTATTATGGACAAAAAACAAAATGTCATTTAAATGCAGATTGCACAGATAAATCCACCTTCTATCTACAGCATCTTCCACATTTTGGATTTTAAGTGTTTCTACTCTTATAAAACATCACTTAAGATAAAAAAAAGAACCACAAAAGAAGATTTTCAGGCATTTTCTAAACAGAAAAATGTTATTTCTCCAGGTTATAGATCAGCCTGTTTGTAATCTTGACACAGAAGCTGCTGTGACAGTTGAATTAAAGCATGTCGGAATATCAGATTTCACTGTGACCTGCAGCTTTTCTGCACCTCAGCAGGTAAAACCCAGTTTTCTTAATCCTCCTCCGGTCTGATAGCTCTCACTCTTCACGGGCTGAGGACAGAAAACAGCCCACTGCTGAAATCCAGCCACTGTGATCAAGCTTTACCTGTTTAGAAACCCACTGAAATCAGCCGTCAGACAAAAGGAGGAGCCTTCTGTTGAGATGAGGCCCAAAAACCTCCAGAAAGTTTCTCTAATGGGAGAGAAAATCCACCGTTTGGGACTGCTGCTCATTTCCATAAAGGAAAATGGCTCTTATTGAACTTTAATCACAAAACGCTGTATCTTTGGTCACTTTTTTTGTAAAAAAAAAAAAAGAAAAAGAAAAAAACAGTGGAAAAGTTTCAGTAGGTTTCTGATTTGCGGACACAGTGTTTTTAATACCTTTGACTTGAGATTTTTTTGCACAACCAGCTGAGCATTAGTTTCTTTATGTCACTTTTGGTGCATCTAAAAAAGACTGAATCTTGTCTTATTCATTGTCATGAATAGAAATGTGTCATAAGAGCTGCAAAAATGATAAAGTTTTTTCTTCTCAATAGTCAATGTTTCATGGAAAAGTGCCTTTTCACATAGCTTGTGTATTTATAAAAGACTGATCTTAGCCACAGGATGATTTGACTCTCTTTTAGGGTCACAGAGGATTTCAGTAGACGTTTGAGGACCCAGCAGATCTTATAATCACACTGAATTTATCCTGATCTCCAATCACCTCGAAATAGCTGCAAGTGAAATAAGAAAAAAACATTTCAGGTATCAGGCATGTTGCATTAAAGGAAATTTTCAAACGGGAGATCTGTTTGTAAATTTTAGAGGCTTGTCTTGCTGTGGGCCAAATATTATCTTTGTTATAAATGCTTTATTTATACATTGTGACATTGAGAAATAAATGTTTGGATTTCAAAATGGCCTTGTGTGAACTTTTTCTATGAACAAATACTGTGAATAATTAATTTGGGTTTTAGCTAATTTGCTACCAGGACCAACAGTAAAATCCAAATACTGTCCGAAAAATTCCTTAATAATCAGTACAAGAACTGAGTAACAGTTCATTTAAGCTAAATGAACATATTTTGCAAGTTTTTACAAAGGAAAAGCATTTACATAACTGAACTTCTATTTTAAATACTAACCTAATTCATATATTTTGAAAGATAATTGATATAATGAAGAAAACAGCTATAAATGATCCCATAAAATAACAGAAAGCTCCCTGAAATAGTGGGCATATAAGAGCACCATGTCAAAATGTATGTCAAAAGCAGGCAAAATGTTTTTTTAGGATATTTGGGAATTGTACCAATAAAATTGATCAAACAGATATGATATTAAAATCTATGTAATTGCACCATAATTTGATATAAGTTTAGAAACATATTCAGGTTCAAGTTCATAATATTGCTGTTTTTTATGTATTTGAGATTAAAATCACACCCTAATTTGTATGCCTTTTTAAATGATTTTTATATGAAGTTTGTAGTGTGTACTGTAGATTTAAACTGATGAACAGGCGCCATCTTGTGGCGTATGTGTGAAATGACACAACTATCGGCCATGAGTTGGGGGGGGCGGTCACATAAACGTTTATTTGTGCTGTAGAAAAATTATAAAACAATAATTAAACAAATTCCCTAAAAAGGTAGCAATTTGTGTGTCATTTTTATTCGTTTTAAATATTTTGCTTCGACAAAAATGGCGTAACCTAAAACAAACCAAAAGTGAAACTGAAAGTAAGAAACTCATCCGTTGCTGACGGTTAGCTGGCAGTTAGGACACACACGGTAAGTCTTCCAAACTGGGTCTAATGGGCACTTGGTTAATGACCATTAAGGTTTCTCCTGCCTTAAAATAAGCCAAGATGGCGGCCACTAAAGGCCGTTGTGTCTAGCAACGGTCAAGTTAGGAACTAGCTAAAAGTAGCCGGTGAAAGATGCTAGCTGCATGGTGTCTAATACAACGCTGTTTACACGAGAAGAGGGCTGAAAAACGATCCAATAAAATAATCATTATTTTATAAATCCCTGCATGCTGTTGAATAAATACACTATTTAATTCAAACGGTCACATTTGCAGCCAAAACAACCTAAAAGAAGAGGTTTATAGTTAGTTAGTTACAGAATGGTTTAGTCACTGGCTTGTTTACTCCCTGTGTTCATAGAGACTGCAAGCAAAGTTTAGGATGTAAGTCATAATGACAGTCAAAAAGACATAAATTCATATATACACACCAGGAACACAAGAGCACTGAAGAAAATAGTCGAACAGTAGTCTAAATATCTAGTTTATGTCTTTAAATGAGCCTAAATGTACATAAACATAAACATAAACATGTCTTTAAATGAGCCTAAATGTAATATTATTTTTTATGTGTAAACTCAGTGTTAGGTGGCTTTTATCCAACTCATAAGAGTATAACACACATACGCTTAAATGGTTAAATAAACTAAGAGATTTTAAGATTTATTGGCCTGTACTCAGAAATATTTATTTTTTAACAATACTGTTTGTCGTTTCCTCTATAGTTGAATAATATGACTGTAAAAAGCCGACTGTGAGTCACTTTTTTCTGTTGTTTGCTACAGTTAAAAAGGCATTTCAGCAGAAAACATGACTCATATTTTGAAGTATAGTACTACAAACAGGTTTGTGAGAAATGCAATGACAAATTGTGTGTAGAAATAAGGTCAAGGAAACCTAACACCACTGTAATATTTCTCTCTCCAGGACCAGACCCTGTAATATTTCTCTCTCCAGGACCAGACCCAGCCTTTTCCAGCCTGAGGGGGACATGTTGGGGCCGGTGTGGTGCGGGGTGGCCATCCTCCTGCTGGACTGGACCCTGAGTGCTGCTTTTTGGGCCGTGCTTCTTCATCTGGGATGCCCCGGCTGTGGGGGTCTGGCCGGACTCTGGGCCTTCGGGGCCTTAAAGTGGGTCCTCCTGGAGGTCTCAGTGTCCGCGTTGGGGGCCGGGAGGGCTGAGCTCCACAGGTTCGTGGCTCTGCTTTGCCTCCTTCGTCCGGTTCTCGAAGTCGGCCGGACCCCGTTGGCCGGACCCCCGGGGCCTCACGGAGAGCCGGGCGCCGACCTCAGCATGCTGCTTTTGGGGGGTGGGTCCTCCGTGTTTGCCTGTCTGGTTTGGGAGAAGCTCTCTTCTGGGGGCGAAAAGAAACAAAACCAGCCGGATACGAAGCGGATTCTCATGAGGGTCCTGACTTACTTCAAACCCGACACGCTCCACCTGCTGACAGCTTTCACTTTCCTCATTATTGGGGTCATCTGTGAGTCTGAAAGCAGATGTTTCGCATTTTAAAATCTCCCTTATTGTAAGTATTCCACTTTAATGTGTCATTTATCTCTGCTGTAGGTGATACTTACATCCCTTTGTATCAGGGGAAGGTCATCGACCAACTCAGTGGTCAAACGCTGCACGCCAGCTTCGGCTCCACACTCGGCCTCCTGGTGCTTTTCTCTGTTGGGAGGTAATCAAACACAGCAGCTGCAAATATGCTTTACGTTTCCTTTGGTTCCACAGATTCCTCATTAATGAGAACACGGCGGCCATCTTGAAAGCCGCCATATTGGATGAAGGGCAGTTATTTACAAAGGGAAGGTGTCACGCCTGGGGGAATGTCTCGTCTTGATTACCTATTGTGTACACCTGGGGTTTCCCTCCCTCATGTGTTTAAATAGTCCTCGTTTCCCCTTGTCTGGTGCGGGGTCGTTCTTGTCTGCTTGCCTTGTCTCTTGTCCTTTCGTCCGTCATCACCCCCACGCCAGGTTTGTTTTCGTCGTAGTTCTGCCACAGTCTTAGTCACGTTTTGTCATAGTCTTGTTTATCTTTATTTTGTTACTTTGTCAAGTCATAGTTTTTGCCACAGTATTGTTTGCTCATTGCTTTGTTACTTTGCCCACAGTTTGCCACAGCTTTGTTTTGTACTTTGTCTGGACATTCACCCTGTTTTTGTTCAATAAACCTTGTTTCCCCTCATTCCGCGACTGAGTCCTCCCGTCAACACCCACCTCCCTGACAGAAGGTGGTCGGTCGGGTAGCATTTCTCCAGAGATTTTTTTTTTTTTTAATTCAACTTTTTTTATTGATCAAACTTTAAACACACACAACAAAGGTCCACATAGTATGTCACATTGTCCTATTGTACATAGTTTCCCTATACGCCACCTTGACATCTCCAACAGAAAATATGGTACATAAAATAGCACTAATAATAATAAATGGAAACACAAATATAACGGCTGTCTTCAGATACACCTCATGTTCCTCCAGAGCTTCTTATGCAGGTTGAATTAACTGCTTGGACATTCCTGGTTCTCTTTCTTTTTCTTCTTGTTCTACATGACCACTTTTCCATTAGAAAATCCAATATGGTGGCTTTTAAAATGGCGGCCGTGAGGCCCCCCTCAGCCATTACTGGCTTGGGGATTCAGATATGACATTATTTCCCCTTTTTGTTTCTGGAGTAACCTTGACTGGCCCTGTAGAGTGTTGTGTTTGACGCCTTTTTTAAATGAAAATGGTTCTTCTCACCAGCGCCGTGTTTTCCGGGATGAGAGGAGGCGTGTTCATGTGCGCCCTCTCCAGGCTGAACCGGAGACTCAAGCTCCTGCTGTTCCAGCGCCTCCTGCAGCAGGAGGTGCACTTCTTCGAGGAGAACAACCCGGGTGAGACCCATCTTTACTTCCTACCAAACGACAGATATACGGGAAGAAAATTAAAGGAAGAGGGAGGAGATAGGAGACGAGTCATAAGGAGATGTTTTGGTTAGAGCTCATTGGTTCCAGCTCAGGTTTTTTTTTTTCACTATTCATCTAACCAAAGATGGGAAGGACTGGCTCTACACGTCTTTATATATTCACAAAGTTTTCACATCTTTGGGGGCTCTTGGTGGTCTGTTGTCAGCTTTTTCTACAACTCTATAAAAGATCTCTGTAGAAGCACATCAATTCGTCCTTTATGGGAGAACCTACAACTATTTTTTCTTTCTTTCTACCCCTTGTCGTGTTTAGCATTAAGCTAGCTCTGCAGACACTTTTGCTTTGCCAAGGGAGGCCTGTCAGGGTGAGAAGCCTCCCTTGATCATCCAATACTGCTTTATTATTTAAGATTTATTTTTGTTATAATAATAATAATAATAATAATAATAATAATAATAATACATTTTATTTTGAAAAAGCACCTTTCATGTCACTTAACTCATTGGCTGCCAAAGACGTCTATAGACGTCTTTTATGCTTTTCAACGAGAGTGTCTGCGGGACGATCTGCTAAAGCTTGTCCGTAAATATCAGGCTTCTAGACAGAGTATGTAGTAACAAATTGACCCTCTAGGGGGCAGTGCCACTTTTGATGGGAGATGAGCATAGACTGTAGGCAAATAAGAAAAAGGTAACGGTTCGCTATGAGAGAACATGTCGCCGGTGAGACGCAAGTCCAGGAAGAACGGAATAAGGTAGAAACAATTTTTTTTTCCTGATGAAAGAAGAGAGTCTACTCTTTCTTTTGGTGTGTTCGGTGTTTACATAGTCATAGCACAAACTATTCTGTGGCTCTTGAAAAATCAGTCAAAATGCTCAAAAAACTCTGGCAGTCTATGAGTTAAATTGTCATGTAATTTTGTCCCATCTCATAGTTTTTCTCCATTGACCACAACGACTTGTTGAACAGTTTTTTTTTTAATCGAGCTGCTCCATAAGCAACCGTTAGACCTGAAGTGGGACCTGAATGGGAGAACCTGCAACTTTTTTTTTCTTATTTTCAACCCCTTGTCGTGTTTAGCATTAAGCTAGCTCTGCCCGACACTTTTGCTTTGCCAAGGGAGGCATGTCAGGGTGAGAAGCCTCCCTTGATCATCCAATACTGCTTTATTATTCATTTAAGATTTATTTTTCTTACCGAAGTAAAATGGTTAATGACCTGCAACTTTAATGTTGTTTCTAAATCTGTGGACATAACGTCCAAAAATGATTAAATTGTCATGTAATTTTGCTCCATCTCAAAGTTTATCTCCATTGATCCAACGAGTTGTTGAACAGTTTTTTTTTTAATCGAGCTGCTCCATTAGCAGCCGTTAGCCCAGAAGTGGGACCCGTTATGTGGGGGTTTTCCCTCTGACCGGTGTGGGCTCTCCCCAGGGCGCCTGTCCTCCCGCCTGCACAGCGACGTGGACCGGATGGGCCTCACCGTGGCGCTGAACGCCAACGCGGCGGTGCGCAGCTCGGTGAAGACGGTGCTGATGCTGCGGGTGATGCTGGGCCTCTCCTGGGAGCTCAGCCTGCTCACCTGCGTGGAGATGCCGCTCCTCGCCTTCCTGCAGAGCAAGTACATCTCTCTGTCCAAGGTAGGCCACTCGTCAGGACTGGAACTCAAGGCAGGAATCGGATGCCTAGATCTTAGCAAAAAAGATTTAATAGAAATAAAGGCACGCTCATAGAGAGTGGCTAGGTAAAGTACAAAATAATAATCACTCTTGAAAACGAGGCAGACAAAGCTATAAACAAAGCATCAAATAATAATCACTCCAACGAAGCAGAACAAAACAAAGTACAAAATAAAGTCACTCGGACGAGGAATAACAAGGAAGGGTTCAAGAAAATGTTTGGTTTGGTTCGAGGAGAAGGTTAACGCTCAGTTTGGGTCAGAAGACAAAACCAACTGGCCCCAGACAAGGAGAGACTCAGACTATTTAAACACAGGAAGGGAACCCCAGGGGAACACAATCAGGGAGGACAAGCAGACATGTGACACATAGGGGAGTGAAAGATACCTTTCAAAATAAAACAGGAAATTACCAGACAACCATGGAGACAGGACAAAACACCAAAAAATCCCCCAGGTGTCACACCACTGAACACATCATGCATGAATGCATTTTGCACTACTGGTTAGTTATCACTGGTCCTAATTAGCGTTTAATTAAAATTTGAATACTGTCTGTAACTAAGAATATTTTTTCTATCTATCCATCTATCTATCCTCCCCCATATTTTTTTAACAAGCAAAAAAACAGCAACACGATTTATTTTATTTGTGATTTATTTTTTTTAAAAAGCAGAAGAAACATTCATTTTCCCTTTCAGCTGTTTGTGTCTTGATTTGGAGTTTTCTCCAAAGAGAAAAGAGAAGTGAATTACAAAATCATCCTTTAACTTTACTGGTAGATGAAAACAATGTTTATTTCTCAAGTAAAAAGATTTAAATCTTTATGGGCATGGGCAGAGGCCGGGTTCAAAGGTCAGGGAAGCCTTTAAGTTTCTCTGAGGTGAGCATTCAATCTCCAGTTTTCTCCATCTTATGGGAAAGAAAAGCCTAAAATAAGAAAAGTGTAGCAGCAAACAGACAAAATTAGTCCCATTAACACTAAAAACAAACCTGAGTTCCAGGAAAAATGACTCCCATAAACACTAAATGAATAGAAACAAACCTGGGATGGGACACGATGCGTTCAAAGTAATTTTTTTTGCTCAGTTTCTTTGGCAAACTCATTAACACTAAAAACAAACCTGGGATGGGA